GGGATCAGCCCGGCTCTGAGGTGTTTCAGCACAGGCTGACACAGGCATTTGGTGGGCAGTAAGGCAGTCACCTGCACTGAGAGAGGGTATGCATGAATAGAAAAGGAGTGCTTGGCCATATTTTTTGGGATGGAAAAGTTTCACCAAAAAAAAAAAGTAATAGTGCACTTTGACCATAACCACTTGAAAATTTCAGAAAAAAACCTCTGCTTAGCACCCTGAAGGCTTATGAGATTTGAAAAGTACAACATAGAACTAGTGTTTGTCCCAGGCAGATTAATGCTTGTAGTAGATACACTGAGCAGGGCGTCTCTACCTGAATGTGCAGCTGAGGGTCAGTTGAAGCTGAAATAAAAACTGTTAATATGATTCATTGCTTACCCATTTCAGAGGAGAGACAGCAGAGAATCCAAAGTGAGACAGAACGAGACCAGGCTCTCCAAGTCCTAAAACAAACTGCAAGGATGGCCAGAAGATAAAGGACAGGTTGAGGACGTATTTTTCTATGGGGGACGAGCTAAGCGTGCAAAATAATGTCATCTTAGGGGAGAGAGGGCTGTTATCCCAACTGCTCTATTTTTCAGCCCATAAGCAATTCTCTGCAATTGGTTTTGCGTAGTTCCAGCTGAGGTAGACCCCCAGACTATTAAAATTAACAGTGTACTGTCAGATAAAAGATGACTATCTTTTTTGAGCATTTTGGAGCAGTAGCCACAAATTAATTCTTACAATTTCTGTGACATCCATGGTCAATAGAGGAAGCATCTACATAGCCGGTGCACATACAGAATTGGACCCAATAAGTGTCATCTGTCCTTTTTTTCTAAAGTTTGTTATGGCCTCTAACATTTTGTCTTACAGGAATGCCCTGAATAACTATTTTCCACTGAAAGGATCTAAATCCCCTGGATTTGTATTACCCAGGTAATAAGAATAATTCATCAATGAGCTTTTCAATTGCTGTCTAGCGGATGCCAGTAACAAGTGCACACAACTTCTCCCACTACCTCCAGTGACGATCAACTTTAAGTTAATCTCTAGGCATAAAAAGTACATTTATTTATTTGTTTTTTATGATCCAGAGACTGGCCAGAGTTGCTTTTTAATTGTATGATTAAATTAAAATAACCACAACAAACAGATTAACAGCTTTCTTCTATTAAAATATCAGCCAGTTAAATCTCAGATATTTAGAGCAGAAAAGAAAACATAGTCAAAATGTTAATTATCAGTTAGTTAACATTTACAATAAATAAATATCTCCACTTTATACTGCAGTCATAACAAAATATTTATATCAAACGGAAGCTCTAGACCCTGGATTTGATGATGAAAGGATCCCCACAAGCCAACAAGCAGTATCCAACTCCTGATCTCTCCTCTTCCAGTACTGTAGGCAGAGAGTTGTGAAAAAGAAATAAGCACTTAAAAACATATATACGTATAAATGGTAAAAATTAAGGTTAACATCAAAACCTAGCCTAAGAAAAATGTACTCCAAATTACTCCAAATATTTTTTTAGACAGTATCAAAACACTTTGGAACTAATAAATACATTAACCTACAATCTGTACCCTACTGGTGAAAATCCACTGTTATTTTGCCATATACCTCCTGAATGGTATTTATTCACTTTCAGTCACTACAGATGAAACGGGCTGGCCAACTGACTTGCCGACGATGGTTAGCCAGAGGTACACATCAGTTATTCAGCTCAGATGAAAAAAGGAAAAGGTATTACTCTAGTATTAGGTATTTTAGATCAAGACTTTAACAAAACAGAGAGAGTAACTCATCAGTTGAAAAAAATGATTCAGATAAGTTTGATAATAAAAATTATTTGTTACTTTGAGTAAATCATTTATGCACACTAGACAGAACAACAACATTCTTAGTAAGATTAATTTACATATACAGTAGGGGTACTCCGCAAACTAATCAGGTGACTGCCAAATGCAATTGATAGCATCTGGTCTTTGCCTTAGAGGTAGAAAAAGATAAACACAAAATAAGTACTGAATAGGTACACATGTTTATGACTTTTAAAAAAAGGAAATTAAAATAATATATTATATAATATAGTTGAGACAGTCTCATTTCAAGTTGAACAGAGCATCGAATGATCAAGTAAAAGATGCATCTGCAGATAAAAACAAACATTAGCTTTTAAGTTTATTTTTTAGAAAAGCTTAAGTACTGTATGTTCCACTGAGTAAATGGTGGTATACTCCAGACACCATTCAGTTGGAAATATATTTACAAAAATGTTAGAGGGCCAATATCTAAAAAAAAAAAAAAAACAACAAAAACAAAAGACAAAACTAGTTTATACTTCCCTTCTCTGCAGAGCATGTCAGCCTTGAAGCGTTCTGTGTAGAAAATACAGTTATGTGGGAAGTCTTGTATCCATTTATTATGTATAAGTGTTAGAGACCCGCAGTGGTGAAGACATCTGTGTTACCTCAGGAAATATAAGACAGTTCTGGTCTTTTCAACCCAGTAGTAAAACTATTACTCTAATTTTGCAAAAGTGGAGATTGTTCTTTTACACATAGAGGTGTATTTAAAAATAGCCTAGGCATTTTTAAGATTTACAATTAGAGATTAATACAAATGAGCAAATACAAAATACAAAGATTAATTTTGGCTTACTAATCAAAAAGTATGACAGTCTCCAAAAATATGCAAAATTAGAAAAATAAAAAATGGAAAAAGTATATCTCATGGTTTAACTTTTGTTAAAAGATTTTTTTTCCTTGTGGCTTTTTGTCACCTCTATTAATTACATGCCATACAGTGTATTAACTGACACATGAGGCACCAGTTCTGAGAGTCAGTCCCTTTGAACTGAAATAGTTTTTGGAGGAGTGGCCATTGTGTTTAAAGGTACACTATGCAACCGGTGTTGATTTTCCAGTGAGGCTCCCTCCAGAGGGCGAAAGTAAAAGTGCACTGTCGTAAATATGCTCAGCTGTTCTCCTGGTTTCTCCGTCAAGCCAGGCGCGGTTGTTTTGAGCTTAGCAGCGAATGACTAACGCTGCGTTCACACTGGATGTAGCTGGCGCGACAGAAGCAGCGAGTTTACATGCAAAGTCAATGGTTGACGCGCGCGTTTTGAGCTGCAGGCGCAGCACGTCTGAGCGGCTGCAGCAGCGCGTCGGGTGCGTTTAACGCAGGGAGAGAGACACAGGCAGCGCGTCGGGTGCGTTTAACGCAGGGAGAGAGACACAGCGCTGATGATCACTGCTCTTAAACAGTTTATTGATGCCTAAATTAACTTAAAATGCAGAAATCTGCCGGCAGAATATGCAGTTTGGATTATTTAGATGAAAAACACCTACCAGCTGCTGCGGTGAACCGCTGCTGATGAAGGGATCCATACTGTCGGGGCATCCCTGGTATGTGGGGGTCTGAGCGGCTCCGACAGAAAAAATATTGAAGGCAGGATAATAATCTGAATGAACTGACTGCACTGATTACGTTTTCAGGTGGATTTTCTCACTTAAAAACATATTAAAACTACTTTATTCCCACTGATCACAGCAAATATAGCTGCAAGGCAGAGAAAGGATAGAGTAGCTCCGCCCAACGCGCCTCAGACACACTTTTGCAGCCAGAGCAGCAAAGCTGCTTCAGCCCCGCGTCAGAACTAACTGGTACAAGCAGCAAAAATGAAGCAGCAGATGCGATTTTGCTGCTTTTGCTGCGTGAACGTAGCATAACTGCACAAAGATTGCCACTGTGCTAGCAACGAGCATGCTTTTAACTGGGGGTGTGTAGCAGTTCTCGCCGTAAAGCAAGACTGACCCTCGCGAGACTTCTGAGCCTGTGGGTGCGGGTCGGTGCTCCTGCAATTGCAAGTGCAGTATTTCCCCCACAGACCACCAGGGCGGCCGAGAATACCTTTGTTCAACCTGAAATGACTCATTTAATCATCCAAAACGTTATGGAACACATTAATTAACTGAAAAATGTTGCATAGTGTCCCTTTAATGAGTCAATAAAATATGAACATTTCTTTTGTGGAAAAAAAATTATTTACTCTTTTTATCTCTGGCTCTAATGTGATATTTGAAGGCATCAGATGTCCAAAACAAAAGTGTTAAGGACCTATCTGTGATATGAATAGATAATGAGTCATAATTATTGTAGCAGACTTTCACATTCACATTGCCAAACCTCAAGAAAGAGGAGCAAAACAATGATGTGCTAAACAAAGAAAGAACAAAGAAAATTTTGTTTTGATTTGAGATTTTAAAGGAGCATTGAGCAAGTTTAATAATTGAAACTTTATTTTTTTTTCCATATGTGCCTTTACATTTTTTTTCTTTTATTGTCATTATACTGTCACAAGTACAGAGCAGCGAAATGAAGTCTCTGCATTTTACCCATCCTCTTGGGGAGCAGAGGGCTGCCATTGTAGAGTAGTTTGGGAGTCGAAGCTCTGTGCCCAAACCGCTAGGCCGCCACTCCCCCCATCTTAAAGTGTAAGAGTTTCTCCTGTATTTACCGCTATCTGTATTTACCATTATATAACTGGTTGAAGACTCTATGCATACATGTGGTTGTGACACTCTGAACACTCGGTTTCCCTTGGGTTAGTTAATTCTCTTCTGCCACAGACACTGTCTGTCGCAATTAACACTTTAGTCCTAAACCTAACTCCCACTCATGTGGACCAATTGTTGATCCCCACAAGTACCTATAAGTTCCCAAAATGTAGCACATTTCTGGGAAATTAATTAAATAGGTAACAAAAACATGTCCAACTAAACTTAACTAATACAATCCAGCTAAAACTAACCCCTAACCTTAAAAATTTGGGTATAATTCTTAGGGCTGGACTTTGGTTTTTACAAGACCTATTAATCTTCAGAAGTTAGCAAATACACAACATACAGCACACCTTATTCTTCAGTTTGTGCATCGTGGCCTCTCTCACTCTCCTTTTTGTGCCTAAGTCAAAGAGGACGGACTGACTGAAGGAGAGTCCCATTGGCATTCTTTAACATCTCGGTTGCTGACTTGCGTTCAGAGAGCTATCTGGAAATCAGGAAGACAAAAAGAGGCTCCTGAGCATTGGTGTCACTCAACAGGTAAGCTATTGCTCTCTTTCACTCATGCAAATTCAGAAAACCGTTCAAAGATTCAGGGTCTTTTTTTTTTCCTAAAAGAAGCAGCTCCCTCTCCGTGTGTGTCTGCCTCATGAACTCACTCTGTGAGCTTTTTGCTGGCAGATGAGTTGGTTCGGGTTGAAAGGAGGTTTTACCATTCTGTCTTAACCTTTTTTAGAGGAAAGCAGGTGTGTCACAATATGAAGTGAAGTCATTTTATGCCAGAAAACCTGAAGTGTGTAAGAAGAAAAAAACAGTATCGGTTCCGTACAATCCCTTTGAACTGTTTGGGGCTTTGAAAATGATAAAGGATATCTACTTATTATGCTTTTTCTATCCATATTGTGTATATTATGATAATGGTTATCAAAAAGTAGTGTAACAATTCAATTGAGTAGATGTATGATGTTGGGGTGAAAAGAATGAGACAAGCTTAAAAATAAGTGACTACATTTTAGTGAAACAATTTTTTCACCAGTTCTTTAAAGATTTCACAAATCACAAACTGTTTTTTTTAAATCAGCTCCAATTAGTGTGAAATATTACATTGCTGTCTCTTGATCATAGATGTTTAGTGACATCTTTTTTTCACAGCTTATTCAGATCTGCCTTTTATAATCTCTAAGTGTGGTGTGTTAACACAAATAGTAAAATCAAATGAAAGCAACTGAATGCCTTTTAACAACCAGGCATTATATGAATGACTTGCTGAAGTTCAATCTAAGCTTTAAAAAATTGAGGATTTAAGTGTCTTGGTATGTGACATGGCTATCGTTGCAAGAAAGTATGGCCAGAGTGTTTAAAGAAAATGGTTGTATGCAGTGATATTAATGATCTCCAATTGACCATGAAAAGACAAAATACCAATTGAGCTGTAGTTATGTTTACTCAGTGCCTTACTGATATCACGCAGATACTGCAATGTAGCCAGATTTGTTTGACACTGTATGTCAGAGAGGCAACAGTATTCCAATACTTTGTTATACAGAAGATACAGAACGTAGTATAATGCTTGTGTAACTTAGTGTTGGAAGTCAGCCCGACAGTACTGTACATATTAGTCAGTTATGTCAACACCACAAGCCAACTCAAAACATACATTATGTCTTACTTTAGAAAGAAGGGCTTCAAAAATTGATTGCCCAACTGAACTTCAGTTTCAGTCTGTCATAGTTCCCTTGGTAGCTGTTATGACTGTTAGCAGGCATACACAAACAATGAGTTTTGAGAGAGATGGGTTGGCATTCACATGTCAGACCTCATCTAAACTACACAGCCATACGAAGGTTAAACTTCATTTTTTTTATATTAACTGGACTCATCAAGCTTTGTGTTAAGTTGATAATGTTCTGAAAAGCTGTCTGTCATGGTCACATAAACTGGTTCAGCTGCCTTCTTTGTCCTTGCAGGAGGAACTGACAGACATATTCTTTTCATTCCACAGAGAATCAAATTTCAAATAAAACTTAAATTTGCATTTGTAGCAATCTGGTAACAAAAATCACTAGAAAAAGCAATTGTAAGAGATATTTTGGCAAAATAGGTTTCTTTCTGTAATTTAAAGAAAATTGAATGTTTTTCATCCACAATTTATCTATTCTCACATTCTAAATGACAAATTACAGTTCATCTGTAAATATTGTACCATCATATATTTCTCACACAAAACAAGCAAACATGCACCATTTAATGAACATTCCAGGGACTCGCTATATTTTTAAAGCAATTAAGGAGGTTGTTTAACTAGGTAATGGAAATGTGGGGAGGTCAGGCAGGCAATGTCTGCTTTCATTAAGAGGCCCAATGAAAATGGTGACTCATGAGGTTACCAGCAACCTTTTTTGTGTGTGTGTTAGATTAACATTTCCCTTCCTCACAGTGAATATTTGATGTTTAAAGTCTGAATCCCAGAAGAAGAAATAATATTTAGGATTTCTAACTGTATTATATACAAAATGCTAAATTTTTTACTCAAAAAGCATTTCACTGAAATCCATATGAGAAACAATTTAGGCAGCAAATGAAATGATAAAATTATGCCTTTTGTGTCTACCCACATGTGGCAGGGATAAATAGACAATGGGCTTTTTTCACCTCACAGAGGATTCTCTGTTCATTTAAGATGAAAAATAATTGGCTTTGTGTATTCTAAGAGTATACTGGAGAATGTGAAATGCACAAAATGTTTTGAGAGCAAAAAATAATTAAGTGCCAGTTAGGTCTTATCAAAGTCTGTTGGAGTGCAACTAATCGACCAGGAGAGATGCGTCAAAGAGCAATAGCCTCCAATTCATTTTGTGTATTCAGATGAGAAAATATTTAGTTTTCAATTAAGTTAATCACTATTATTTGTTCCACTATTGCAGCAGATAATTTAAAGTGATTGCCTGCTGAACCTAAAATCCATAAAGCTCTTCTGCATGTCAGATAAGTCAGTCTGTACGTGTGTTGCTTTCAGAGGTGGCTTTAACTATTTGTTTTTTGTTTGTCTGGTGTCCTGTTTTGCCAATAAAACTCTGGGAATAGATGTCCCAACAGCTTTACTTTCACAAGCGGACCATTATGACTGTTGCCATAATGTCCAGCTTTGTACTTATATATTAAACTTTTTTTGAAAATTATTTTGTCATTTTTTAAAAGGAAAGGGAGTTGATTAAGAAAGAGGGAATAAGAGCTAAGGGGAGATAGAGAGAGACACAGACAGCAAAGAGTGCATGACAGGAGAAAAATAAAACAAAAAGGCAAAAATAGACAACAAAGATGATAAACAGTAACTCCTAGAAGTCTGCTTCCAGACTACATAACAGCAAAAAGAAGACAACAGACAACCCAAGTAATCATGAAAAAAAAAGCTTCAAGAGCAGCGGGTATCCATGTGTGTTGAAGTCAAAACCTATGGTGATTACCCAGTATTATTAATGGAGGTATGTATTTGTAGCTGCAGCTTAGTATTTTAGTATTAGTGTGTATCCATGAACACCTTGAACCAAACTACCATGGTATGTATGCATGGACGTGCTCATCGATAGAGGATTAACAAATCTTCTTCGAAGGGAAGTATGCTAAATAGCATGTTGAGGGTGGCCCCAGACTTGTTCTACAGGGCCCCAGACTGAAAGAGTGGTGATGTGAGCCCCAGATATGCAGATATGCACCCCAGATCACACACAAGGAGGGACACAAGGAGGGCAGACATACTGTAGGGTTGGCTGCATCCACCAGAGAAGGGCAGACCAGAGCACCCTGAGATAAACTCCAAAGGGCCCCAGTCCCTGAGGGACCCGACCCTTGGGGCCATACTGTCAGGGTCCCACGGGACCGTGGCAGCAATCCCATGCACTCTGCCAGCGGCTAGTCATGGCCAAGTTGGGTCAGGATGAGAGGACCACCCCAAGTGGAGACCACACAGGGCCAGGAGGCCCAGTCCCGGCCAGGCAGCCCCCAGGAATGAGACAATGCCCACTGAAGTGCCCAAATCAGCACCTAGAGAACCATCAGCGAGGCAGCAGACACAGGCACCTGTCACTGACGAAGACTATAAGAAGGGGGAGGATGCAGGTCCTGCTCATACTTCGGGAGCTAAGATGTTCAGTAGGTGGGGTGGGGGAGGCAAACACTACCTGACAAGTAGACAGAAACAACAAGGGGCAAGTTTGTGCGACAATGGAGGGACATGAGGACGAAAAAGAGAGGGGATCCAGGTGGAAAAAGGGTCTCAGCATTCTCACACACTTCGCTCTTCTATAAATCAGCCTTAACACTTTATTCTGCTTTCCTTGCCTCATTTCTCAATCATCAGGATCTGACCCAGCATGGATAAAGACAGGTAGGACTGATTTAAAACAGGTTTTAGAAAAGGCAAAGAGGAATTTTTGGCCTAGGCAGATGGCTGCTCACACTGAGCCTGGTTCTGCTGGAGGTTTCTTCCTGTTAAAAGGGAGTTTTTCCTCTCCACTGTCGCTACAGGCATTCTTAGTGTGAGGGATTGTATTTGAGTTAATGAGTCAATGCAATCAACAGGTTGTCCTTAGATAGAAAACTGAATCAATTTGACTGTATGATCTGGTGAACTGTAAAGTGCCTTGAGATGACGTGTTGTGATTTGGCGAATTTGAATAAAAACAATCTGGGTTTTACATGGAAAATTATTTATTATAGTGTAATTTTTCTAGATGTTTGTTAATTTGCATAGTTGCTCTTAAATAAACACATTGTGAGAAAATAAAAAGTTTTTATATATTAAAAAAAATATAAAGCTGACTAATAGCTTCTCAATTATTAAACTGGTACATTATTTTCTTTAGGTCTATAAAACAATATTGGACCAAAACACAGATTTGCCTCCACAGAACATCAGAAGGGCAAGATTTACGTACAAAAAGTAAACCTGTACATGAAATTATGTTTTGTTTTTATGTTTTGTTTTATAATGTTTTTATTGTTATACTGGTGTGATAACTTCATAGACTTCTGATTGGTTTTCTGTATACATCTATTATGAATTTATAGCCCCCTCTGGAGAAAACTACACCAGCCGCCACTGGTGAGAGCCCAGACCCCCAGTGCGGGAAGGCGGCAGGTAAAAAAAAATATATTTTTTTTTTCTGGAACCTGGCGCCACCATAGGGAGGAGAGCAGCAGTGAAGCCCAGCACCAGCCACAAACACTACTCCAGTTTCACCCCCCAAGAGTGCCACAGCCCCTCTACAGTATCCCACCACAAACTGCCAAACCGCTGATAGCCAATCCACCACGCCCCAGCCATGTTCAGCTGTTCTAGGCCCCAATATCCATATATTCTATGGCTGCCAGGCAATCACAACCCAGGTACACCCCCTAGGCCAAGTATGGTGCGCCAGCCACCCAAGTCCAGGCGTCAAACACCCTCCAGTTGCAGCTCCATACCCGACTGCAAGCATTGGCTGCACGCCGGGTCAGGGCAGACAGAAAGGCAGACCCACACCACAGGCTGAGATGCATCCAGTCACATTGATTGTATTATATAATCACGCCAGTCAGTCAGTCCAAATATATCTGTGGGCATGAGCACCAGAAGTAAAGCCAGAAAGCCTGACCCACCTCTAGTGCCCTGAATATGCCCACAATGATGGCCTACATATGAATGTCTTGGAAATGTTATAAATGATGCTGACTTAAGTGTTTTCATCAATTCAATTCAGATTATTTATATAGCGCCAATTCAAAACACATCATCTCAATGCACTTTACAGTTCACTAAAAGGGATGGGAATGGCCAACCTTAGCCAAGGGACAAAGCAGGACACATAACAGCCCAACCAGCTCCCCAACTAGGCCTCCAGTGGGGGAGCGACTGCTAAGAAATCAAAAGATGCTGCAGGGAGCCCAAAGCCCCCCGCCAAGTAGAAACATCCCACCCAGAGGTGGCAGTAGGCGACAGGAGCAGATACTAGAGCTGCACCCAAAGCTCCGATGCGCAAAGGGATCCCAAGAGCAAAGGCGCCCAGGAAGAGCCAACCCAGGAAATCTGACCCCCACCAAGGGAGAATGAGAGATGGCCCCAAGGAAAAACCCCAGCCACCGAAATGCCGGAGCCCCCAGGAGCTGCGGGGAGGAGTCTGCAGGCTCCACCGGCAGCCACCCACCCCAAAGTGGATCCGGCCATGAACCCCCACTCGCAACACAACATCTCTGTGAAGAGAAAAAAAAGAATAAATAAAATAAAGAAATAAGTAAAACGCGGACGCACATTCACACATAACACTCACATCCAATAATCGTAGGACCCGGCGGCACCGGTGGCTGGTCCCGGCACTACCGGATGACCCAAACTTAGTAAATAATTCTGTAAGCTAGGGACTGTAAGTATGCTACATGCCATGCAATCTTACTTGGCCTACCGGGCCATCCCGGCAGTCGTCAGCCGTAAACCCAGTTTTCCACAAGAAGACATTAACTATATTTCATACATAATCAATGTTGTCTTCTTCTTTGTAGTAGAAAAACGTTACAGTACAAAAGAAGAAAAAGTAAATTGTGTTTACTGGGAATATGCATGTAGCCTTTTTGAACCTTATGTTAAAACTAAAAAATATTGGAATTTTGGGTTTTAAGGATCTAGCACAGCTGAATGTTTTTTTTTTTTTATCTTTAATTGTATGTTGTTTTCTTTGTATATTTAGACACACTCCTTGAGTTTCTTTAAAATCCAAATAGCATTTTCTGCTGAAAAAAAGTGCTGACCCCCAGAATTCAGAGATGTCTACAAAACACATGTCAAAGTGTTTCTTAACTCTAGAGTCACATATGTTAATTTTATAATCTTTTTTTCCTCTGGTTCTTCCAGGATTTCTTTAAGGTCAGGTGTCAATGGTGAAATGGAGTTTGTGTCGGCTTGGATTCTATCTGCATCGAGTCTACCCTTTTTCTGTTTCTTTTTGGGTAAGGGAGTCAAATGTCATTGTGGAGCTTTCATCTCAGTAATTGTGGCCTTTTCAGGTCTTATCTTTGTTTAAAGCTGTACACCCATATCCAAAGAATCTTGAAAAGGATTTTTACTTTAATTTAACTGCTACTATGTGTTATATGTTAGATTCCTTGTAAATCTCAGTCAAATACATGTTGATAATTATCTTTGCGCTCTATCCAAATGCTATTTACAATCCAATTCAACTTTATTTATAAAGCACTTCAAAATTTCTCAAAGGACCAAAGTGCTGTACAGTGAAACAACATAACACCATCAATGATTTTTTAGATAAATAGAAGCTTAGAAATCGGACTATAGTTTAAAAGAATTGTGGTATCTAGAGCAGGTTTTTTTAAGTAATCATTTAACCACAGAGTGTTTTAAATTTTTAGGAACTAAACCTGAAGCCAGACTGCTGTTAACAATAACAAGAGCAGAGTGGTCCACTGTTGGAAAGACCACCTTCAAAAATCAAAGAGGAACAGCATCATATTGAGAGCCAGCAGTCTTTAAACCCCTTACAACCTTATTTTAAAAAGCCGGATTCACAGGCTCAAACTGATTAAAAACAACAGAGAAAGTAACAGGGGTTGACGGGTCAGAATCAGAATGTGAAATAGAAGGTCTAGTTGTTGTGACCTTTTTAATGAAAAAATTAAGACAATGTTCACAAACAGCAGGAGATGCATCAATCACATTTTTCTGGGAAGCATTTAAAATGTGATCAATAGCCCTAAACAAGACACGAGGGTTGTGACGGTTTGCTTGGAAAGCTGAGAAATGCTTTCTCTTAGCATTTCTCACAGCTATTTGATAGTTTTGCCAGTGGTCCTTCAATATCAGAAATGAAACCTTCAGTTTGTCCTTTTTCGATCTGCTCTCAGCTTGACGGCACTCACGGCTGAGTGTCTGTGTCTGGTGGTTTAGCCAAGCCTCAGATTTAGTTTTTGGCATCTTAATTTTCATTGGTCCAACACAGTCTGGCAAGTGAAATGAAACCAAGAGATAAGTTGTTTATCCTCTGTGTATGCTGGTTCATGTTCTTTCATTAGTTCAATAACTTCAGAAAACTGGGGTGCAGATGAGGGATTAAAAATGCAATAACTGCAAGCAGGCTTGAGGTTGCATGGGCTAGGGCAAAAACAATGGGTATGTGATTTGAAAAAACTGCTTCACAGAGCTCCAAAATTGAACAGACAGGCCATATGATAAAATCAAGTCAGGAGTATGGCCACATATATGTGTTGAACTGGACACGCACTGCACAAGATTAAAAGGGTCATTAAGGTTTAAGAACTCCTTTGACCTCTGCGACAAGAAGAAATCCTTCAGGATAAACATCTTATTTGCTATAGATCTAGCGATTACCAGACCAATCCTTACGGGATCTGCCTCCCCCTACAACCTGGAGGCCCGAGACAAGGTGCGCAAGTTTCGCTGATCCACACCACGCTGACGCTGACAGGGAGACCACGAGTGGTGGGTCTGGAAAACTCCATCCCGCCCGCAGAGAGGCACCAGCCAGGGATCGATGAAGGCCAAAAAGTGTCGGGAAACAGCGACTCCACAAACCAATACATGACTTTTAGTTGAGGTGAATGAAGAATGCCACAGAAAAACCCTCAGCTTCACTGGTCATCCACTGCGTTTACCCCGGAGAGGTGGAGTCCAGGTACGGAATAGGTGAGTCGGAATCCCTGAAGACAGAGGAGGCAAGGTTTTATGCCAAGCTTATAAAATTTATTGAGACCTGGGTATCCAACAATGTTTGGCGATCATACACCAGTAGAGAATTGACATTTGCTGTGATAATCAAAAAAAGTAACAAAATACCACATAAAGCTGACAGTGAGAGACGGCATGCCTCAGAAAATGGCACCATCTTGTCAATTAAATGGTTCATCAGACGATTAATTCTATGAATTCTATGAATTAGTTTAATCTAATATCTACTAAATTGCAAATAAGTCTTCACAAACATACTGGATGTGATACACCCTATACACAAGAATAAGCTTACGATAAGATATTGTAAAACACTAAATGTCCACACACAAGTTGTTCGGTCGAGTTAACTTGTGAGTCAAGTGAGGTATGTTATGTACCAGAGAAAAAAAACCTAGGCCGTCTCTCAATTCACGAGAACGCAAGTACAGACTTGTGTCCTCACCAAGCATGTTCTTGAGAAGAACACAGGAAAGTCTAGACTTGGGGAGAACGGGAGCACGCAGCATAAATATGGGGCAATTGGAACAGAAGCGTACTTGTGACGTCGTCACATGCTCAGCTCATCTGAAGCTATATTTCTCCTCCTGTTATTAATAGTCTCTAGATAACAATAAGGTTTAACTTTTTTCATTTAGTGAGAGAATAATAATTAACACAACCAGATAAACACAAATCAAATGAACATTTTGCCAAACAAAACAAAAATATCAGAGCCAGCGGTCCTTCACACACGGCTATGCCGAGACAGGACTGCTATATTAGCCCTGGCTGCTGTTACCCTCAGAGCTCTGCTTGTTGCAGCGGTCCTCTCAACTTCGGGAAAAAACATTTTTAATTATGCATTAAATCAGTATATGGGCCATAAAGTGACGCTTTTCTCGTCTCAAATGATATTAAAACTTGCTTTTATTGAACAACAGCAAAAGAAAAGAGAACTTTAACTTAACACTCTGAGCTCTGTGAGCGCTCCATTGAAAGCTCCTGTTGCAACAGTGCATGCTGGGACAGCTGTCAATCTCAAGAACGGACAAGTCTGCTCTGATGCATACTCACTAAATAGGGAGGGGCGAGAACAACATCCGGGGATTTTGTCCGTTCTCGGTCTGCTGTTCTTATGAACAGTACTAAGGCCAAGGCTGATGACATTTCACGAGCACATGAGAAAGCACAAGTACATATATTGAGAAACGCGTCTAGTCTAGCAAAGGGACAAAAACTATTTGTCTCATATAGCTCTTAAAATCTATAGCCAATCTAAAAACAGCAACTAAATCCTAATCCTTTTTTTTTTCTTTTTTTTAACAATGGGCATTAACAGATCAAGAAAACTCATTAATAACTGAACATACATAAACTCTATTCCTTCAAACTGATTTGTCAGTGTAAAACATCCAAATTCTGTGTTGAGGGCTTCTAGGTGCATGCTTGTATAAAATGATACAATATGAATATTTACCTATTTATGAACTGAAGTGATAAACGACTTTAGGCAACTTGACGGAAGAGAGAGGAAGGCTGTTTTAGCTGCTTGCCAGAAACAGCAACTATTTAGAGAAAAGGTAACAATGTATATATTTATTTATTATGATAATGTATCACACCCTTAAGGGTAAATAAAGTACAAGGTTTTATCTGAGTGTTTATTCCTAAGAGAGTGAGGACACAAAGATAAGAGGGTTTGAGCAATAAAAAAAAAGAATGGAAGGCTTGCTTATCTGAAATACAAAAAAATAATAATAAAATAGGAATGCAGGCTCAGAAGCAAAATCAGCTGGGGATGCAGCCAAAACAAAGTAAAAAAAATAAAATAATAAAAAATAAATATGGCATTTAATAAAAAATCTGTTATCATGGCACAACAAAAAATATAAGCAGGTAGCCTATAGGAATGTTCAGATTACAAGTCATGGCTGCAGCAAAACAGTTTTAGAAAAAAAACATATATTTCTTGATACATAAACTTAAAAAGCAAAAAATGTAAATAATTATATTTTCCTTCATTTCATCTTCAAATGCTGCATATTGTATTAAAACAGTTCACTTGCACCATCTCTAAATAACAGCTCAACAATATTGCAGAACTGCAGTGATAAAATTTACATTTTCTGAAATAAGAGTTTAAAGACTGGCCAAGAGAAGACTACTGATGAACTTTGGAAGGAACGATAAAACCAAAAGCAATAACATTTGCACTTGAAACCCTAACCCTTTGAGGTTGCCATCTTATCAATTTACTGCTAAATAAAATCAACATCTTATAGTTCTTTTTTCATATTGATAATATCCATAGCTCACTTGTAAGGAATAGGCTCTATGCACAGCTCCACTACTTCCTGAATTTAAGGGAGCTCCTTTGTTTCCTGTCTTTCATGATTGGATGCACTGATTAATCCAGGTGTGTATGACCTAAGTAACTGGCCAGACACACCTGGATTAATCAGTTCGTCCAGTAATGAAAGACAGGAAACAAAGGAGCTGCCTTAAATTCAGGAAGTAGTGGAGCTGTGCATAGAGCCCATTGTATTCCTCCTAAAGATACATTTGATCAGTTCAAGCTAACACTGGGTTAAGCAAGTGTTGGTGGGCGAGTAAATTCTTTTTAACATAAATTCAACAAGATGCTTGTTTTTGTTGACATAGAAGCATCACATTATTGCTACAGATTTGCAGGATAGAGATCAATTATGTAAATCTCTTGTTCAACCACAGCCTAATTTGGTTCTATAGCATTGAGATCCTGAGGCTATGACATACAGTGAGCATTATGCCACAATAAAAACCAGTATTAAAGTATTTCAGTTTTACACGGAGCAATGTCATGTTGTAAATAAACAATACAAGATCGGTACACAATGGTCATACAGAGATGGACAGAGCAAATTATTGAACCCCGACAGTGTTAATTTTAACACCTTTTCAGGGTTTATATAGGTCCAACATATTCAGAGTTAAATTAAAACAAGCAGTATTCCTTCCAAAAAAGTAAAAAAAAAAAAAAAAACAATCCACTGGACTTTGTTTCTAAGTTCGAAGACATATTGCTTCCCATCCAGGAAGCTTTTTTAATTCAAAATGTCAGACAGTAGCATTGAGTTTAAGGCTTTTTTTAAGTAGCCTAACATAGCTTTTGCTTTTAGAAAGCTATGCCAAACTCTACCGTAACAATCTAAATGCTGATTTTGAGATATTTATAAGCAAGTACAAATTTTCAGTCTGTTATTGACAAATTTTGATGAGTTTGTAAAAATTATGGCCTTGGCTTTCCGATCTTAGTAGGCATAAGTGTCACTGGTCTTGGTCTCCATCTGCTTCAGAGTTTAATGTTTCATTGCTCAAAAGCGGTATTCCTCACATATTTAGATGTACTGTAGCAAGACGAGAACTGCTACTGCACCTACCAAGACATCTGAAAACAGGCAACTTGTGCTTACTGCATTTACCATAAGTGTGTATGAAAATCTCTGTGAATCTACAGTTTTCTAAAATTATACCAGCTTACCTGGAATCAAAAACAACGCCACACTTAAATCATGCTGCCCTGACTTTTTACAACTAACCACATGGTCACAGGACACACACTTTTATCTTTAACAATGTAATTTAGGGAAAAGCACATTTTTGGGATATAAATTTATATTTTACTTAAGCACATAAAAACGAAGAGTTATCACTTGTACTTGATAACCTATATTTTCAAATTTTGAAAAAAGAACACATCCACTCAGCATCTGTTATGTATTCATTTATGTAAAATGTATGCAAAAATGCTTCTATTTGGCTGTTTGTATGCATCCTCTGTAATGGCCAATCCTGCCCTTCATATTTGACGTGAGGTGACTGGTTCAGCCTTGATCTAAGAGCTCTGCCTCTCACTCATGTTGTCACATGCAACAGAGCATGCACTTCACAAACAACTTGGTCATTGTTTCAATGAAGGTCAAAATTTAAGCAACTCACTGGAGTCTGGCAGTCCCTCTCTGCAGGGTATTGCCTAAACAAGACTCAAGCTTTGATATGAGGTGCTAATTGAAGTAAGTATTTGAACTGGGCTCCTTAAGCTAAATTTATTCTATGTATAATACTGATATTATGCTTAAGTGGCAGATAGTGGTTCTGCCTTAAGGTTACCTCTCTGATTGAAGCGCACTCAACCAATGAATTTCCCCACATAGCCTGACTGAAGGATGGCCAACCATACCTATGGCAAACAAAGGGGATTAAAGTGATAATCGTTACTCATCCTAGAAGGAATTAGGTAGTGGGACATTGACAATGAAGAAAAAGCACAGGTCAACAAGGCTCTTTGATACCCCACGCTTTTTTAACATCTCCCCATACACTATCTATGTGACCAAAGGGAGGTTTAATTTGCCATAATTACTTTATTGACTCATTTTCAGAGCCGTATTCCTCCAGTTTGCCATCTATAAAACATATGCCAGAATGAATAATGTCCGCACACAATGGGGTTGCCTTCTACAAAACATCACAGGAATGAAGCCCTGTAGGTCATGTTTATCTCATGTTCTCTCTACTTCATTTACTTCATTGATACCCCTGCTCGCACAATGATTTCCTCATTCATTTTTATCTCCTTACATTAACTACCATTACACCCTCTTCCGCTTCAGCTCTTCTCCCCTTCTGATTTTTGTGTCTCCAGGCATGAATGCCCAGCAGGCTTTCAGAACTGAGCCTAGAAACCTCACTGTGCGGATGGGAGCCACAGCTGTGCTTAAGTGTGAGGTCCTGAGGGCCTCAGGGATTGTGCAGTGGGCGAAAGATGGCTTGCTTTTAGGACCCCAGAGGAGCCTGCCAGGCTTCCCACGCTACAGCATGATCGGAAGGAAAGGTAAACAGGAGTAGTCGCACAAATATACCTCATGTTTTTCAGGGAGTTCATACAAAAATTACTAATAATGATAGCAAAAATTAAAAAGTTAAAGAAGAAAAACAACAGAGTCAGTGCTGTGCTACAGTGTCTTGAAATATTTTTTATGAAATTAGAATTAGAATTTTATTTTTTATTTTTATTTATTTATTATTTTATTTTCTGACCTCAAATATCAATGTACAATATACAAACAAAAAAATATAGATAGATGATAGATAGATAGATAGATAGATAGATAGATAGATAGATAGATAGATAGATAGATAGATAGATAGATAGATAGATAGATAGATAGATAGATAGATAGATAGATAGATAGATAGATAGATAGATAGATAGATAGATAGATAGATAGATAGATAGATAGATAGATAGATAGATAGATAGATAGATAGATAGATAGATAGATAGATATTGTTTTAGGTATATTTTTTTAGGTATATATATTTTTTTCTTTTTAAGAAAAACTTTATTTTTAGTATTTCAGCAAGTTGAGGAGGCTGCTCTCTATCAAGTCTAATAACTTTGAGCTGTTCTGAACAGAATTAGTATCGAAAGTCTTTATCTCCAAATTTGCAAGGCTAGTAGAGACATGGATCAAACACTGGTAACTGCAAATAGAGTGTTTCTATAAAGTACTGTCTCTTAGAAACTGAATAAAAAAGAATTATCAATTTTTATTTATTTATTATCATGTTTATTTATAGATTAAAAACATACCTCATGTTCCTTTTGCTTCTCCATCTGACATTACTTTGTGTGAGTTTAATACCATAAATCTAGGTAAAACACAATGACATCTATAGTGGTTATGTGAACAATTTGGAACTGTTCAACAGCTTAGAATATAATTCACGAGCTAAGGGTTTTGTTTATAAGTAAAACAACATAGAAAATTCCACAAACCTTTAGCTCTACAGTTGGTCCCTAAAATAAAGCTCAGGCACTAATTTACACAGTTTTAGTAACAAACCGATTATGTTTGCTCATCATACATCAAATAACACAGTTTTTAAACCTCTCAGCAAAGAAAGTGAGGTTCAAACTGTTAGCAACACCGACATGAAGAAAAAAGTCCAGCTGTAAATGCAGTGGAGTTGCACAAACATGTTAGAGTACATGTTCCACTTATCCTGTCACTGGCACATCAAGAGTGGGGAAGAAAAAACACTACAGAGGTGTCAGCTAATCAGTAATATGTGACAGAGGGGGGAAAAAGTGTCTCACAAAATATGCACCACAGTCTATAAAAAGTAATAGCCAATTAGAAGGCAATCCTGAGAAGCAGAGAAGCATCTGTTCCTGATCAGCTTGCAACTCGACGAGCTGCACTTCACCGTTGAACACTGTCTCAGACAGCCAGGGACATATAAGAGCTCATGGATAAATAGCCACAAACATTGAACAGTATAAACAAAAAAAATCTACAGGTAAATAATATATAGTATCATTAAAAAAATATGTAAATTTTTCCTTCCTATATTCAAATAAATATAAATAATTTTTGTTTTATGGTTGTTTTTTTACTTAGAGTGATTCATTTCAGCCCTTTATTTTTCGTTATTTTAATGTTTTATTTTCATTGAAAGCTGCTGAAATATGTGTATACTTACTGGGGAGTATTTGCACTGAGTGCTTAGACTTTGTTGGCATGAACTATGCAATCAATGAGGTGTGGCAGAGATGCAATCTGCCTTTTCTTAGGTGTGTGGGGAGTTGCAATCAGCTTATCTCCACTGTTGAGTCTAGTGTCCCTCATCTTCCTTTTAATAATAGTTCACAGCTTTCTTTTTGTCTTAGGTATGTGTGAGTTCACTGGAGAATTAATCATATATATATATATATATATATATATATATATATATATATATATATATATATATATATATATATATATATATTGCATTCATTACACCAGGTGTTTGTACTTTTTTGCACTGCGTATAAAGTTCCAGTGTAAAAGAAAATCAGGATCTTTATAAAGTTTGTTAGCAGAAGAAAGCATGATTTTAGTTTCCAGTGGATACAGTTGACCATCAACTGAATCTGAAGTCAAGTCAATGTGGTTCCTCCTTAGTTAATATCAGATTGTGGAATATCCCAGTGAAATGTAAAATGTGCTTTCTTTTAAACAGAGGATTGTGAACCACTGATCAAGGGGGCATTTGATTTTCTCCTTTGTTTGCTTGGCATGCTTTTGATGTCACAAGCAGCAATTATTTCCCACAACTCCTGGGTACATATCTCCTGGCTATTGAGGAACTCACAGTATCTGCAAACAGTGCCATGTAATCTTCTCAAAGATCTTTAGGAAAAGACTTTGCATACCACATATTCCAATGATTTCTTAATTAATCTACATTTTCAATTAAAATCATGGATACAGTACTCTATAATTGGCTAATTTGCTCTTTAAAGTGTTAGCATTTTTCTTCTGCATTATACAAATTTTCTGAAGCACTCTAATGATATCACTTATTGACTAATACATCTATATAATTTATGTCTTTTATTTTTTCTAATTAACTTAATACAGAAATGGACCTTTGAGGTAATACAATTACTTTTCATGTGCTCATGGGAGGACACAAAAGCAACACCAATAGCAGCAAATATTGAAATCCAAACAAAAATATACCTCTGAAGTATTGAGAAAAAAACTGGCACCCATGAACACATGCAGGGAAACACAACACACCAAAGACTTCTCCACTCACCCTTGAATAACATCTTCATCAGCACAGGTACAATTTCCAGGAAAGGTAACTGCAGACTGGTGTATGCAATCACTTTCCTCAGCCAAGAAAGAGCCAAATCATTTAGGATGACACTTGACTGCACTTTACAAACCACCGGTTCTTGTTGATTGTATCATCAGGAGTTTTTATTTATGCTTTAAAAAAGCTTGAAATCATGCATTTACAGACACCGAAGAGGGCAGCATTGATTTCAACACACTTAAGATAAATGTAGCGTACTTAACTTTTTTCCCATGAAGCTGAAAAAGTGACATAAATACTCAATGCATGAGTCATGATCTGCTGTAGAATTTTCATCTGATTGGCGCAACAGCTTCTATTGTAAAGACAAACACAGATGAGCTGATGAAACAGCTTGTTCAGGGCATTAGAGCATGAAGTATGTCTTTGTTAATTTATTTTCAATGATTAGCCCACAAGAAGGGATTTAATTATACCTGACCTGCAGCAAGTCAATAAGGTGAAATATAATTATTAGTGGGCACAAATAACACCAAGCTTTGCATGTTTCCTATACTTTTTATAACCTAGCTATTATAAAAGCTTATTAAATTGATTGATGATTTATTTTGTTATTTATGAAACTTAAAAAGTCCACCCCTTTTAATTTGATCAGCCCAGGTACATAATAGTGTCATGTAAGCACAGAAGTGTTTGTTTTCTTCCTTTGAGTCTGTATTTTGTACACACACACACACACACACACACACACACACACACTCACACATATATATATATATATATATATATATATATATATATGAATAAAAATAAACTCTTCCTCACCCATCGCGGGTGGTCTTCCCCCCTTTTTCCTCTAAGCTTGGGTCCTCTTTCAGAGGCCTGGGAGTTTGAGGGTTCTGCGCTCTATCTTTGCTGTTTCTAGAACTGCACTCTTCTGGACCAAGATGTCTCATGCATTTCCAGGGATCTGCTGTAACCACTCCTCCAGTTTGGGGGTCACTGCCCTGAGGGCCCCAATGACCACGGGTACCACTGATGCCTTGACCTTCCCGGTTTTCTCCAGCTTTTCTCTGAGTCCCTGGTATTTCTCTGGGGCTCAGAGAAGAGCTTAAGAAAACCTGAAAGGTTTAAATACATACATATATTTATACAACAATATATATATATATATATATATATATATATATATATATATATATATATATATATATATATATATATATATATATATATACATATACACATTAATATTAGTGGTGGACATAGATTCATTTTTTGAAACTAGATTATTCTCACTGAAATCTTGGAATTAATCCATGTGTGTGCTATCTAAATAATAAAAATTCAATACATTTTTCCTTAAGCAAACCTGGCGCCTATATACAGTACCTGCATCCATGTTGAACATGTTTCAGGGTCAGACATAATTAATTATCACACAGATCCCTTCACTTTTGAAAAAGTTAATCAACAAAAATCCTTCTTTGCCACAATCCTTTTCCAAAATCAAGAACTTTGCTTTCTGTGATCAATTGTTTCTTTGCAGCACAGCAGTGCTTTTTTTGATAAACTCAATCAGCTGATTTTACTCACAGCCGTTGGCTGTTTTCTTTGTTCGTCTGTGAGTGTTCGGCTGGGTCCCCCAACCTTGTTCTTTTCTTCAAGTCCTCAGTAAAGTTTTTGTACTTGTTACAGCTTCTCTTGCAACCTAATATGATATTACTCAGCTTTATATATATTTTTTATGTATAAAATAATTTCTTTTCTGAGAATTTGTTTATTTAGGAGCAACTATTCAAAATAACAAACATCTAGAAAAAACAAAACTATATATTATTTTCCATGTGAATCCCAGATTAATTATTCTTCTTTGCCATTTATAAAAAATGCTTTAGATCAGTCCTACCTGTCTTTATCCATGCTGGGTCAGATCCTGTTAATGAAAAAGGAGGCAGGGAAATCACAATAAAGTGTAACCCCAGGCTCACACCGACTCCGTCTTACCGTTGCGGTGCGGTGGGTGCGGCGCCGCAGTGATTCCAAGTCATTAAAAAGACGTAAACCTCTCTCACCGGCTGCTGAGCAAGCTATCCTTGCGGCGTGCCGGAGCCCTCCGCAACAAGCTCTCGCAAATATCCTTATTTGGGCCGTGTTATCGCGTGAAGTTACGTCAACTCAAGTGAACTTCTGTTAAATCTCCGGACCTGTTGCCGGAGCCGCAGAGCCGCACCGTACCGTAGTCAAAAGGGCGGTGTGAGAGGGGGTGTGCGGGAGTTGCGGTCTCCGTCGGCTCGGTAACCGCACCAGAGCCAGTGTGAGCAAGGGGTTAGCCTCGCTATATGCAGTTAGCCAAGCCTTTGTGCTAAAGCAGGTCCTAGAAAAGGACGTTTCTTGCACCATTTCTCTTTCTCTCTCTCTCCAATGCATCTCCAACTCCTGCAACTCAACCTGTCAGGTGGTGAGCAAATACACTTCCTGTCACCTCAGGGCACAGAAGAGGTGCACCCCAAGCTCTCCTATACATTTGTATTGCAGATTAAGAACTGCATATGTACAACTTTTAACGAGAGCCAATGGGCAAAGATTTTTGCACCCTAGGGTGGAAATACATCTTATTTTTGCAATATTTCAAAAATATTTAAGATTTTAATTTTAAAAAAATTTTATGCTCAGGGTCATTATGCTCAGCGCCCTCTATTGTCCAGCCAACACTGAAGGTGTTTTCTTTACTTATAAAAGTGACAGAAATAATCTCCAAATTGACTTACAAAAAATTCAAATATTGACGTTATTGGTAAAAACTGTTTCCTTCCTCACTCTATCGCCAAACAATCAGATCAACCAAAGCAGCTGCTTCTGCTTGTTAATCACAGCAGGAGGCGGCCTGACAGGGAAGAAGGTCAAATAAGATAAACAGAAAAATAACAATAGATTTCACATAACCTTAGATCTATACCATTAATAATTTAGCAAAAAAGAAATTAATCTAATACTTAAGAGACTCCAGCAGTGCATTACTTTCAATGTGGAAATTTCACAGTAATTCTACACAGGTTCAAAGAGGGATCCTTCTTGCCCCGCAGATTACATCCACACTAAAATATCAAGGTGAAAGACAACATTAGAATAGACCCAGATCTGCTAATACATAGATAGATAGACATCCAGACAGACAGACATAGAAAGAAGGACGGAAAGGGAGAGATAGATGCAACTGGTTGCTTTTGCTTTTACGAGTTGAAGATAGCTGTAGGGGAGATATAAAAACAGATATTTTTATAAATGGCTTCTAGTTTTACTAAAACAATATGAAAGGCCTTCTTTCCCCCCATAATTGGGGTTTGGAAAGGGAACACTTATTTTCACTGCAGCCAATATGTATGCGAATCTATCCTCAGTCATAAAGCCTCCTAAAGTTCTAATCTAGATGAAATAAATACAAAGTAATGGGCAAATAGGCACATCACGTCTCTGCCTTCCACCATCTCCTCTGCCATAAATACACACTTGCTGCTACTTGATTGCACTATTTGTGAATAATTTCAGAAAAGAGGAACATGATTAATGACTTCAGTGTCTCTCTCTCTCTCTCTGCACTCAATGATAACTTAGATGTGAAAATTGCTTCTGGTTGGTGTTAATTATCTTGCCAGCTTACTTGACACATGCGTTTTTAGGCCTGAGTGGTTGTCAGACCAAGATACTATTTTCCACATGTTAGTGGGCTGTGAGCCATCAGGAGTTGGAAAACCAACAGTGAGCATCATCTAATCCCCACAGGTTGTGGCAAAGCATCAAACAAATCAAGCCCCATTGGCATGCTAGACTAGCAGTGGGGAGATACATAGTGAGGAACTCTGTCTGGCAGCAAATAATAGGCAGTTTATTTAGTTCGCATTCTGAATTGGAGATTGGATTTTATTTACCGCATTAGAAACTCCTGCAAAAGCAGAAAAAACAATCCTTCAGCTATACAGTACACTGCAACTTGCATATCAATTAGAATGCCTGGGGCAAGAAATTAGAGATTCTCAAAGAATCGGATGTCTCCACTACACAGCTAGAAGAAAATAATCTATTTATAGCAAGATTACCAGATATCACAGAATATTGTTCATTTTTTTTTATTTTATAAGTTCTAAAGAGCTATTCTTATCATTGTACAACAAAGAACATATTTTGATTTGTACATTAACTAGGGTACACTGAAAGAACTTTAAAAAGCCTTTATTTCACATGCTTTCATTTGCAAATATATAAGTGTTAATTGTTTATAATTTGAGAGATCATAAACTTATCTTAATTGTTTGAACATATGGAGAAAGTTTGGGTTCAAAACCTTTTAGGGTTTTCAAAAGGCTTTGTCATATAAAAGGGATGGTTTAGGTTATGAAAGGTAAAGACAACTCTCTTAGTGCCCTAATTTAGTATAAATCCTGTTTGGTGATCCTAGGAGCTCAAGCTATCAACTATTTAGAGAAGAGTTTAAACAAAACAGGATGTCCATTGTCTAAAAATGGCCCCAGTCTCACATCTGTTGTAGTTCTTATGCAAACACAATTTCCTACTGATATTTATGTATAAGGGGAATGGAGGCTGGAGGTGATCCGGCAAGAGTGAGTGTCTTAAAGAGAAGTAGGGCAGTAGAAAATAATTTCAATAATGTTTTCTACAGACAAAATAATATATTTTTTTCCATTGTCCTTTGGTGAAAGGTTACTGAAACTGTCAATGATTTAACGGACTCAGTCATAGTTTCACACAACGAGATTTATCATAATGCTCAACCTCAATTACCTCATTAAAAAGTCTGTTTATATACATACGTTTCAAGTTTAAAGGTTTAACAAACAGAACTGCTGTGATATTTTCAAGAAAGGAGTTGTTTCACTCAAAAAATAAAAAAAAGGTTGCTCACTCAAGCTCAGTTGTATGACAGACTGAATAAAGTGCTAAATTACATATAAGTAAATGTTTATTTCTAACCCAGAGAATGGAAGAAGTCGATGCACCCTTCATAAGTTTCCTTTTGTGAAACACATTCTAAAAATGAATCATTCCATCTCAGAGTAACTGTCTGGTATAAAGGTTGAATATCATGAACAAAAAACGTAGAATAATAGTTAAGGTGTACCTTAATTTTATGATTTTATTTTTATATGCTGGCATACTTTTCTGTTTGGCCGCTAATCTGGCTAGAAACACTACATTTTTCCTTTACAGTATCATACTGGAAAAAGCTTTTGTCACCACATTAATTTTTAGCTTTGACTTTCTTTAGGAAGTAGAATAGCATATTGCTCTTGGCCCCTCTTGGATGATCCATTATCTTCAATAATAAGATTTATTGGGTGAGGTATCAAAAAGAAGATGAGATGAAATAGTTTTTTATGACTTTTCAACACTTCACTTTAAAGATATTTGAAGGGTATTCTGCTCAGAGCTGATTTAGTGGTTTGAAAGATTGCAGAGTGATGAACAATCTTATTGGATGAAAATCTTAATGTGACAGACCGCTTTTTATGTTATAATAAAGTTTTTTTTATTTATTTATTTTTTTTTTACATTTTATACAATACTAGAGTAAGCATGTATCTCTGTCTCTCCTTCAGGACAATATAATCTTAGGATTGAAAATGCACAGCTTGAAGATGATGCATCCTTTGAGTGTCAAGCTGGCCAATCTGAGAGAAGTGATGCAATTATCTCCAACATAGCCTTCCTCACCGTACAAAGTAAGGATCTGTCTGTCTGTCTGTCTGTCTGTCTGTCTGTCTGTCTGTCTGTCTGTCGGCCTGTCTGCCTGGTTAGACACGTGCAAAGTAAGGCACAAATAGCATTATCCGTACTCCAATGATATGCATGACCTTTAGACCACTAATCTGCATAAAAAGAGCTGTTACATATTCAGTTATATTGATGAATATCTTTCATTTTGTAAAGAAAGGACTGCTGCAGTTAAAGCAGACTTAATCAATGTACGACTGGTACAGTAAAACTGAAAAGTTCCCCTTTGAGCGCATTAACAAATCTATCTTGATGAATTACTAATTTATTTCAGTAACTCAATCCAAGTGAGACTCATATGCTATATAGATTTACTACCTCAATTATATATTTACACGCAGTGGTATAATAACTTATTTCGGTTGATTTGGGTGATTACAACTCACTGCCAATGAAAACCCAAATTACAGTTTCTCAGAAAGTGAGAATATTATGTTTTTTTTTAGAAGTTGTGAAAGCTTTAGTGAAAAAAAAAAGCTTGGCTTAATATTTTCAGTCTTGTTTTTCTTATTTTTCCTTTTACAAAATATTTTCTCTAAGGGTCTTGGGTCAGGTGAATTTGCTGGCCAGACTTTGGACCAGGTTACCTAGTAGACCAGAAGGAGTATTAAACACTAATCCTGGATTCTTTTTTGTCAATAGCCCGGGATGCATTGACCATAACCATAGTCCATGTTTTGTTACTCCAAACTGCAATATTCCAATATTCAGATAATTTTTGAATTATGCATTTTCCTACCACCAAATTTTCCATAAATATGCTTAGGCAGAGCTCTACATAAAAAGCCAACTTCTTTAGTAATAACCTTTTCAGGCTTATCCTTCATGTGGAGGGTCTTGGTGTCCACCGGTCAGTTCAGCATTTTCCCCCATTATTGTGTGGACTTTAACATGAATAAAACATAACATGCTGCATTTACTAATTTTTTATTGATCTTGTACAATATTCTTTGTTCTGGAATGCTTAACCTTGGGCTTTCATTAGCCTATAATCATCAAATTAAGAGATGAAATGCCAGACTCTGCATTTAATAACTCTATATTATTGATTTCCATTTTTATAAGCAAACCTTTTAATACCTGTAATTGTAAATTGCTATGATTAGTTTTCTAGCTCTTTATATTTCTTTCTTTCACATTCTTCTTTCTTGAGAGTCATGGTTTTAACTAGCTGTGACATATAAGGAAATGGTGCGGTTCAATTAATTATTGTCTCTTTCCTCAAGAGGATAAATTATTTCTGAGGTGATTCAAAAGTTCAGCTTGGATGTAGAGAGAAACATATGTAATTGTAAAACTACACTGGACCACCTGTTGTTATTCTATAACAACCCTCTCCCATCCCTCTTGCCTGTGGGAGTGAGCCCATATGTGGTCAGGAAAGGACTCTAAAAGAACCTTTCTTCTCCAGGCACAGTTCATTTACTTAGACCCACCCCTAACCGCTTCCTATTTTCTCTGTCAATGAATTTCTCCCTCCCTCCCTCGTGCTCAGGCTTTTTTCTTTGCTGAATATGGTTGTGGGGGTGCCGGTGCAGGGTTTTGCTGGGGGTTTTCTCTGTGGCAGTTTCAGCAGTTTCTCTCCTCTGGGAAGAGAGCAGGTTTTTCTGACATCAATAGGCTGCCAGGAGGGATGGCGGGTGGTGCGGGGTAGCAAGAGCCATAGACTGCAGACGTCTCTTTTAAATGACTGCGCTCCATTCTCCCCTGCAGCAGCTCCATATCCTGCAGCAGGCCCTACACCTGCAGCCACAGCGGGTTTGACTCCCACATTTATTACTTTGGAGATGCCTACTACTTGTGTGATCACATATACAAAACCAACAAAATTTTTGTGTAGGAGCTGGCATCTTTTGTACATGCTCATATAATGAATTTTATCTGACGGCAGGGAGTGTTGGGTTTTCTGGTTGTTCCTGGTTGACTTCCAGCGTGGACAGTTACCCCTGTCGAAAGGTTATCGGATCAACCATGAAAGCTTTTTGAAAATGTCTGTCCTAAAGCATCATTAATTCTTGTCCAGCTTTATACGTGTTTCAAAATATGTGAGAAACTTGATGCTTTGTGATAAGCTGATAAATGGAATCTTGCATTAGTGCTGAGCAGGGGCCGGAAACTGTGCATCCTTTCTAAAAAGCACTGTCTCTGATGAGTTCCCATAGACTCCTTCATCAAGGCAACGATTGCTCCCAAGGCCCCCCCGCAACCAGTCAGCCGTTGCCAGATCCCATCAAGCTCTGCATCAAATCATAACACCATAAACCCTTTATGAAGACCTGGCTTATGAGAGAGGGAAAGGAATTTGCAAAAGAAAGCCAAACTGAGATTGCTGGTTATAAAATTGGTATCATGACTGGCTAATTCAAGATAAATCACTGCAGGAAATGAATAGCAGAGGGAAGGGAGAGATATGTCAACAAAGCCCCCATCTACTGGCTTACAAAGAGATGTTTTCAAGACATATCCATTGGTGTAACATAACTCCTGTGTGTTTTTGCTTTTCTGTGGAGCTTAGATTGGGGATTACTGCTATAGGCAGATCAAGTGGCAGTGAGTAATCCATGACAATAACAACCTCTACTGAAACCCCCCCTCCTCCTCACTCTGATGCTAAAACTTACCCTGTGCTGTGCCACATATCACATACCTGACACATCCTGTGTCTCGGTTTGTACCATTAGCTTTAGTATTTAATCCTATTAATGAACAACTCTCTCTCATCACGTTGCGTGTCTGTACAGATGCCTCCTGCAAACATTCAAAGCAGTTTTTTGAGGTGTTCTGGTTTTAGAAGGCATTACTCATTCAGCTGCGTCCTACAAAAATATGCACATTTGTTTGAGTGTGTGTTTGCACATGAGTGTATGGCTGTCTATTTGTATGAGCCTATTATCGGAGTGGCTTGGAGGTTAGAGGACATTTTAGGAACCAGGGCTATGGTGAGGTTTCGCCGGTAGCTAATGAGTTTTGCTCTTGAAGAGTATATAATTAGCCTTCAGTTTCTTATTCCTTGTTATGAATAATGGAGCAACTCATAAATGGGGGGACAAGCAACACAAAGCATAGAGACTTTATTCAGTCTTGTTCTTAAAAAGTTCTGACAGCTACCAATGATATGTTTTCATCAGTTCTTGAGAGGCTGCTTTTAATTCTACTTTGAATCTTGAATTAGCATGGACAGCACCCACCATGTATTGGTTTTCCCAGTAAAGATTTGTGAAAAGGCAGGGACCCTTGAGCACTGAGGGGTGGCCAATAGGGCACATCAGTATTTTCTAAATGAAGATAAGCTAAATTTCCAATAACCCGCTAATAAATAAATAAATACACATATTTACACATCAATGCTGGCTAAAATAAACGAATACTGTTGGGCTCACTGGATTGTGTGCTGAGCTGCGTTAGGGTTCTTTCTTACCTTTTCCTCCTTAGACTCCAGTCCTGACGAGCCTCCAGCTGGTTCCAATTGGACGCAATCAGGGAGCAGTATTTAGAGGAGTGGATTCCCTGGGACGGACGCCAGTCGGTTAAAGTTCCACACAGTGGTAACCTACCTGCTAGCTCTCCTAAGACTGAACCAATAGTTTAGACTTAAGCTTACCTCCGTGTCCTCCTTCTCTCTCCTAGAAGCCTCGCTGTTTCCAAGCCGGTCCTCCTCTCAGTCCTCCTGGATCCTCCCCTCGACTGCTCGCCTGCCTGTCCACCCTCTGGAGCTCTCAAGTCTAAGCCCTCCATCTCTGTCTAAGACTCAATCTCAGTGGGCTCTTCCAACCTCCCCTCCAGCTGCACCGCTCTCCAAGAACTGTAAGAAATCAGCATCTTCTCAAAATAACTCGGATCCTCCTGCCAGAATCTAACTTATATCTCTCTCCGTGCAGTTCCTGAAGAAGCCGCTGTTATCCGAACCATCACGCCAGGCTGAAACTTTATTCTGTAAAACTTTTCAATAAACAATCTAACTGCTTCCCTACTCGCATTGTGTCTGCGCCAGAGTCTACTTTTGAATCATGTCAGAACCGACTGGCCATCATGACTCTGCAGCACAACTACGAACCGCTTTATCCGAACAAGGAGTTCTCCTTGGCCGTCATGATTCGGCTATCTCAACAATAGCTCAACAACAAACCTCAATCATGCAGACTCTTAGCCAGTTGTCACTCCAAGTACAGGAACTTAGCTCCAAGCTGCCGTCTCCTCCTCCTCCTCCTAGACTTAACCTATCTGCTGGTTCTGCTGCCTCTTCCAGGTCTCCCATCTCCAGAGACGTTGTTTTGCCCACTCCTGAGCCATTCGCCGGCGACCTGAACAAAAGCAAGGGATTCTTGCTACAGTGCTCCCTAGTGTTCGGGCGGTCCCCGCAGTCATTTCCGGATGACGCCAGCAGAATCTCCTACGTCATTGGCTTGCTCAGAGACAAGGCTTTAAGGTGGGCTGAAGCAATTATTGATGATTCAAACATTTATGAGTACACCTTTGGAGAATTTCTAGATTTATTTAAACAGACATTTTGCTTACATGTTGGAGAGGAAGAAGCAGCCAAAAAATTGTGGACTCTAAAACAAGGAAACAAGTCAGCAGCAGAATTGGCAATTGAATTTCGTACTCTTGCAGCAGAATCCGGTTGGAACGAGACAGCCCTCAAGGGGGCGTTCCAACATTCTCTCAGTGAAAGGCTAAAAGATGAATTGGCCTGCCGAGAGGAACCAGAAACCCTGGACCAGTTAATTAATCTCACCATCCGGATTGACAATAGGCTCAGAGAAAGAAACCGTCAACGAAATGTAGCAACTTCACACCATGCTTATGCTATGACGCCTGACCCTCAGCCTCAGCCTCAGCCTCGCCCCCCGTCTCCCGAACCCATGCAGATCGGTAGAGCTCGGCTCTCACCTGAGGAACGCCAACGGCGGTTGTCATCTGGCTGCTGTCTGTATTGTGGTCACCCTGGTCATTTGATTTCCGCCTGTCCAGTTCGCCCAAAAGCCTTTGCCCGTCAGTAAATCTGGGGGTGCTGACGGGCAAAACCACGATTCAAAACAACCTCCGTCTAACTATTCATTCGTCCATCTGCTTTGATCGTAAAAACCTCCCCGTGCTCTCCCTGGTGGATTGTGGTTCTGAACAGAATCTTATAAGCCCAGATCTAGTTCACCAATACAAGATTCCAGTTCAAAGACTCCCTACTCCAATTTTTGTGTCTGCCTTAGATGGTAGCGCTCTTAAGACCATTACTCATCAGACTGTCCCTCTTCAGTTTGTTTCTCTAGGCAACCATAACGAACAAATATCATTTCTAGTTTTTCCCACCAAGAACTCCCCAGTGGTTTTGGGCTACCCCTGGTTAATTAAACACAACCCCCAAATTAACTGGTCTCTTTCCCGCATCGAGTCCTGGAGCCCTGAGTGCTCTAATTGCTGCCTCCGCTCTGCTCTCCCCCCTCAGAGCTGCATGTCCAATCCTCAGCAACCTCCAGCTGACCTCTCTAAGGTCCCACCTGATTATCACGATTTGCAACGCGTCTTCAGTAAAGATTTAGCCCTCTCCTTGCCTCCTCATCGGCCCTATGATTGTCCCATCAATCTTCTTCCAGGCGCCCCACTTCCCTCTGGCCGATTATACAACTTGTCTAGACCTGAACGTCAAGCCATGGAGAACTATATAAACAGTTCTCTCGAAGCAGGTATCATCCGCCCCTCCTCTTCTCCAGTTGGGGCCGGTTTCTTCTTTGTCGAGAAGAAGGACAAAACCCTCCGCCCATGTATAGATTATCGGGACCTAAATAAGATCACGGTCAAGAACAAATACTCTCTTCCGCTCATATCAGCTGCTTTTGAACCCGTAAGCCAGGCCACCGTTTTCTCCAAGCTCGACCTCCGAAACGCCTACCACCTGGTTCGTATTCGGGAGGGGGATGAGTGGAAAACTGCTTTCAAGACTCACATTGGTCATTTCGAATATCTGGTCATGCCTTTTGGCCTTTCTAATGCCCCAGCAGTTTTTCAGGCTCTCATAAACGATGTTCTGAGAGACTTTCTAAATGTCTTTGTTTTTGTTTACATTGACGATATCCTGATCTTTTCCAGAGATCTGGAGGAACATAAGGTCCACGTAAGAAAGGTGCTCCACCGTCTGCTAGAAAATCGCCTGTATGTCAAAGCTGAAAAGTGCGAATTTCATGTTTCTTCAATCACTTTCCTTGGTTTTGTTTTTGAGGGTGGACAGGTGAAGACGGACCCAGCCAAGATCAAGGCAGTGTTGGACTGGCCAACCCCTGAGACCAGAAAACAGCTCCAGCAGTTTCTTGGGTTTGCCAACTTCTACAGGAGGTTCATAAGAAACTTCAGTGTCATAGCCGCTCCTCTCTCTGCCTTAACATCCACCAAAAGACCTTTCATCTGGACCCCTGAAGCTCAGAAGGCCTTCTCCGAGCTGAAGACCCTATTCTCAAAGGCTCCCATCCTCATCCATCCTGATCCCACAGCTCAATTCATCATGGAGGTGGATGCGTCAGATACCGGTGTTGGGGCTGTACTCTCCCAGCGGTCCCCAGCAGACAGTAAGCTCCACCCATGTGCCTTCTTTTCAAAGAGGTTCTCTCCTTCTGAGAGAAATTATAACATTGGGGACAGAGAGCTCCTAGCCATCAAGCTCTCACTGGAAGAGTGGAGGCACTGGCTCGAGGGCTCAGAACTCCCAGTGGTGGTTTGGACTGACCATAAAAATCTGTCCTACCTCCAAAATGCCAAGAGACTGAACTCCCGGCAATCCCGCTGGACCTTGTTCTTCTCTAGATTTAATCTAAACATCACTTATCATCCTGGCTCCCGTAACATTAAACCGGATGCCTTGTCCAGACAGTTTGCCCCTGATGACGTCTCCAAAACCCCTGAGCCGATCCTTCCGCCGTCCTGTGTGGTTGGGGGGCTTTCCTGGAGCTTGGAGAAGGCCATTGAAGCAGCCTCGAAGGCCGATCCCGATCCAGGGGGGGGACCTCCCAACCGCCTTTATGTTCCGGCTAAGACCCGTTCACAGGCCATCCAATGGGCACATTCTTCACGGTTCTCCTGCCACCCAGGGACAAGCCGTACTATTGGTTTGCTCCGCCGCTATTTCTGGTGGCCTTCCCTCAACAAAGATGTGTTGGAGTTTGTCTCAGCCTGCTCCACGTGTGCTCGTGGAAAGAACCTTCACCGCCCTCCAGCTGGTCTCCTGCAACCTCTCTCTGTCCCTAACCGGCCTTGGTCGCATATTGCCCTAGATTTTGTCACTGGCCTTCCTGTCTCCAAAAATAAGACGGCTATACTGACAATCATCGACAGGTTTTCCAAAGCCTGCCACTTAATCCCTCTTAGCAAGCTTCCATCTGCTGCTGCCACTGCTCGCCTCTTGTTTTCTCATGTATTCAAACTTCACGGCATCCCCTTAGAAATTCTTTCAGACCGGGGTCCTCAATTTGTTTCTCGGGTCTGGAGAGACTTTTGCTCTATCTTGGGAGCCAAACCCCGCCTCACTTCAGGGTTTCATCCCCAGACCAATGGGCAATGTGAGAGACTGAACCAGGAACTGGAAAACGCACTTCGTTGCGTCTGTGCCAACCACCCCTCCTCCTGGTGTGCACATTTACCGTGGGTTGAGTATGCCCATAATTCTCACATCTCTGCTGCCTCTGGGTTGTCCCCTTTTGAAGCCTCTCTTGGCTATCAGCCATCCCTCATCCCCTCTTCTTTTCCAGATGCCGTCATCCCCTCTGTGAAGGACCACATGGAGGCTTGCCGCCGGATCTGGGACCAGACCAGGGCAGCCCTGAACCGAACTGCTGCCCTCAACAAGAAGATCGCTGACCGCAAGCGTGTCCCTGCTCCAGTCTATTCCCCTGGACAACAGGTCTGGCTCTCATCAAAGAACTTCCCTCTTAAGGGGTGCTCCCGTAAACTTTCTCCTAGGTTTTTGGGCCCTTTTCCTGTCCAAGCTGTCATCAGTCCTACCACTGTCCGCCTGAGGCTCCCTTCTCACCTTCGGGTCCATCCCGTTTTTCATGTTTCCCAAGTCAAGCCTGTGTCTTTCAGCCCGTTGTGCCCTCCGTCCAGACCCCCTCCACCCGCCCGGATCGTCGACGGCCACCCCGCCTTCACTGTGCGCCGCATTGTGGATGTCCGCCCCCGTGGTCGGGGTTGCCAGTATCTGGTTGATTGGGAGGGTTATGGTCCGGAGCAGCGGTCCTGGGTTCCGCGCTCCTTCATTCTGGATCCCACGCTCATCTCCGACTTTGAGCGCCGTTCGGCGTCTTCTTCTACTCGTCCGCCAGGTGGCGTCCTTTGAGGGGGGGGGTACTGTTGGGCTCACTGGATTGTGTGCTGAGCTGCGTTAGGGTTCTTTCTTACCTTTTCCTCCTTAGACTCCAGTCCTGACGAGCCTCCAGCTGGTTCCAATTGGACGCAATCAGGGAGCAGTATTTAGAGGAGTGGATTCCCTGGGACGGACGCCAGTCGGTTAAAGTTCCACACAGTGGTAACCTACCTGCTAGCTCTCCTAAGACTGAACCAATAGTTTAGACTTAAGCTTACCTCCGTGTCCTCCTTCTCTCTCCTAGAAGCCTCGCTGTTTCCAAGCCGGTCCTCCTCTCAGTCCTCCTGGATCCTCCCCTCGACTGCTCGCCTGCCTGTCCACCCTCTGGAGCTCTCAAGTCTAAGCCCTCCATCTCTGTCTAAGACTCAATCTCAGTGGGCTCTTCCAACCTCCCCTCCAGCTGCACCGCTCTCCAAGAACTGTAAGAAATCAGCATCTTCTCAAAATAACTCGGATCCTCCTGCCAGAATCTAACTTATATCTCTCTCCGTGCAGTTCCTGAAGAAGCCGCTGTTATCCGAACCATCACGCCAGGCTGAAACTTTATTCTGTAAAACTTTTCAATAAACAA